GTAAACAAGGTGTTAAATTTGTGAAATATTATTTTGTTGAGTTATTCACTTCCGAATATTTTATGAAATTTTGTATTCATTGTGATTGAGCCGTAAGCTTCTTATTGTGGAAATAATGTTGTTGTTGATTTATTTTGGTAAGTTGAAATACTTTGGCACTTGAGGTGCAAATCATGATATATTGTGATATTGATACGCATGCAGTGGTATAAGGTCTGGGTGTTAAAACGCATGCGGTGAGATAAGGGTGGCTTGATACACGTGGCTAGTAGGGGATCTACTAGAAGTCATGTGGTGTGATAAGGGTGGCTAAAACGCGGGATGCTATTTCGAAAAAAATATTTTCTTTAAAATTAAATGTGAAGGCTCCCGCGATGATATAAAGAAAAGAGATATTGTGAATTTATTTATGATTTAGGACTACGAGGCGGTACCTCGGGAGTGCCCTTGTTGATATTTCTTTATGGCTGCATTGCCTTTGGTTATGTTTTTTGTGTTTTCCGTAAATTTTTGTTTTTCTTCTGCGAGGTATTATTTACCCTTATTTTGTGTAGTTAAATTGTGACATACTACTTACTTGATTCATTCTCATTGTCATTTTTATTATTATATTGTTAAACTTTTTACCCTGTCTTTTATTATTTTCAGTAGGGTCTAACCTAACCTCGTCACCACTCTACCAAGGTTAGGCTTGGTACTTACTGGGTACCGCTGTGGTGTACTCGTACTACGCTTCTGCATATCTTTTTGTGCAGATCCAGGTACTTCCTTTCAGACCAGGCATCAGTGAACTAGCCGTACGCGGAGACTTCAAGGTACATCTGCCAGCGTCCGCAGACCTCGGAGTCCCCTTCTATCCTTATTATGTTGTTTTCCTTATTCCCTTTAGACTCTGATGACTAGAGACACTTAGAATAAATCCTTAGAAGTTTGTGACTTATTTCGACCGGGATTTGGGAGTTGTAATTATTTAAATTGCAGTTTTATTTATTTCAGATTTCTATTATGTTATTCAGCATTGATAGGCTTACCTAGTTTTAGAGACTAGGTGCCATCACGACATACTACGGAGGTAATTTGGGATCGTAACACAACTACGTTAATTTCTGTCCTTAGAATATTGGAAAAGAGATACTCGTAATGAAAAAAAAAAAAAAAAACAAAGAGAA